TCGGATGTGATACTCGCAAACTCGTCGTATATTACAAGTTGAGTTTAAGGTGTTACAAATATAATGTTTATTATGATGTCTATATGCATGTGAGGTGGATTGATAAGTATGGTACTTTTGAGTATCATGACATGTAATGTTAGTTCTAAGCACCCTATGAGGTTGCTTGAAGCGTGTGATTAGGGATGGGCATGAGACTCAGATTCGACGAGTTCCGGTTCGATCGGGTCAAATTTTTTGAAAAGAAATTCGGGTTCGGTTCGGGTTCAGATTTAGAGTTAAAATATCTGACCTGATTCGACACGAGAAAAATATATAATTTTACTTTTATATTTAGGGATAATTTCAATAATGCCCCTCTATATATTAATTTTTTTCAATTAAATATTTTGAATAAAAATAATATTTTTTAATAAATATATTATTTCGAATCGATGTCAAAAAATTAGGTCAGGGTTGAGTCGGGTCGATTCAAGTGGAGGATATATAATTTTTGAATTGACCAAAAATTCAACCCGACCCGTCCTGACCCATGCCCATCCCTACGTGTGATGTCACGTCTATACGAGGTAGTATGGAAAACATGTTCAATCTAGTGTATAATTTTCATATGATTAAATGACAAGATTGTTTAAGCATGAAGAGAATGTATATAACACGTCATGTAGTTGAATTTCATGTATTTCATACAATGATCTATGTCTTTCATAAACAAGTTCGATTGATTGATTAGAAGTGCACGACGTATGTGCAAGCATGTTTAATAGAGTTATGACAAGCATAAAAATTACTTGATATGTTTTTATGATGTTCACTATTTTTTTATGTTCAAAGAGCTATGGTTAGAAGCATGTATAACTTGTAAAAGTGCATAATTGGTCAAATAGATATTGAAGGTGTTAAATCTTCAACCATAGTTTTTATGCCTTACATAGAATTTTATGTCTTAAAAGATGTACTAAATCTACTCTTATTGGTTGCACTAAGTTCTGAGTTGATTTGTATATTATTCGAAACTCCCAAAAATTAATTAAATTACTAACATAAGACATATTAGTTATAAGATGTCGATATCTTATACAATATTATCAATATCTTACCAAATGAACAGTTCTAGAAATTTTGATGTGCTTAAATGATATTGATAACTAAAAGGATATAGATACCTAACCATTAGTATGATACCCTTCGTACTGATATCGATATCTTGAGTTTAAAATGATTGATAATAGTTTGCTTTGCTGCTTGTCCCTGTGACTTATATGATGAATGAAACGACCCCCTATATTGATGAATGATTAACTGAGATATCTAAATAATTTTATAAATTTTGTTATTCTAATTTTATAAGTTAATATAGTTTAATTATCAGATTGCGGCATCACGTAATTGATCTATCATCCGATCCAATCTGAATAAAAGATATTTCTTGTAATAACTCTCAAACACCGTACTATCAAATTTTTTACCCCGTCTTTAAATCAAGAGTTTTTCTTCTTCTTAATTTTATTGGTTGGGTGTGATTAATGGAAAGAAGAGGCCATGTGAGTTGGGAGGACTCATGAACGAATATATGAAAGCAGTGGACTCCATGGCTTGGCTAGATCAGATGAGATGCTGCAATTATTACACACTTATCCAACATTTATTCAGCTTGTCTCCATTCAAGATTTCGGTTATGTCTCGTTTCATTCATGTCCAACCACAAATTTCAACATTCACCAACACTAAAACTGGATTTGGTTACTAAATTTCTTAATCATGTAAATTTCCAGAAAATAAATCTGGAAATATGGAATGGTTAAAGAAAGAAAAGTAAAGACAATGTGCATTAAAAACCTCTTGCAAATGTAATCACATGGAGATGTCGAAGAAGGTTTGATCACTTGAGTTGTTGTAACGTCCAAAATTGATATTTTGAATCACACAGATAAATACATGGAGATTTTCACATGCACCAGCTAATCTAATTAATTCAAATGATCGTAAAATGTAATATTACACAACACTCATAACATTAGAGGAATGCGTGACAAGACTCGTAATCTTGATTAAACCAGATGAAACTATTGTAATAGCAACACTCTTGAAACAAAGTTATACGTGAGAAGAATGACCAGTAAGGTTTACCAACATCTTTTATTACTTACTGGAAATGAAATAAGTTTGTGTTCGGCCAATTCATACACTGAAAATGATCAAGAGCAATAATATGTTTAAATAAAGAAGGAAACATGAACTGGATTATCATAAAAGATCGAGGAACTAAACGATGATGTTGAAGCCCAAATAGAACATGATTGGATCAAATCTCAAGAGCTAAGAAACGTTCATCTATATGTTGACTGTAAACATAAGCATATGGATTAAAAGGAGGCCTATTTGCAACAAATAAAGAAACATACACTAAATCCAAATCCTAGTGAATAAAACAAGACAAAAAATGTGGTTTTCTAGATTGTTGAAACCTTTGGGACTTCCACTGGGAATTGGTGAATCTCATTCATCCATGGGTTCTTTTCTTTGGCTGGATTTATGGTCCTCAAAGCCTTCCAAACCGCACTGCTGCACTTGAACCCCGAACCGAATGCAATTTGCCATTTCCTATCTCCCTTCTTCACCCTCCCAACGGCTTCCGTGTAAGCCAATTCATACCACAGGGAGCTGTTCGAAGTGTTACCGAATCGGTAAAGCGTCATTCTTGACGGCTCCATGTGCCGGTCCGAGAGTTTCAAGTTCTTCTCCAACCCGTCCAACACCGCTCTCCCGCCGGAATGTATGCAAAAATGTTCGAACGCCAATTTGAAATCTGGTATGTAAGGCTTCAGCTTCATCTTCAAGAGCTTCCTTGCCATCAATGTGGCAAAGAAGAGTAACTGTTCGGACATTGGTAAAACTAAAGGGCCGAGTGTGGTGATGTTGGTCCTCAAACTGCCACTAGATCCTTGAACAGCAAAACACCGATATTTCCGACGGAGTCCTCTTGTTGTGTGACACAAGTGAAGCATTTTTCGTCAGCGCCTTCGTGTGTTCGAACGGTGACTAATTGATACTTGGACCGTCATCGATCCGACCACTTGTTGGAGAGTAAGATGGCAGCACCTCCCATCCTAAACAAGCAATTGGAAACAAGCATGGATCTCTTATTTTCAAAATACCAATTCAGAGTAATGTTCTCCATGCTAATGACCAAAGCACACTAATTCGGGTGCGCTTGGAGAAGATCTTTAGCAAGATCAATGGATATCAACCCTGCACTACACCCCATTACACCTAGATTATAACTAATAACATTGCCTCTAAGCTTGTAATGGTTAATTACAACTGACGACAACGACGGAGTCGGATTAAACAAGCTACAATTGACGACCAAAATCCCAATATCCTTCGGTTTCAGAGATGTTTTATCGAACAGTTCATCGAGCACACCGAACATCACAGTCTCCGCATCTTTCCTCGCCTCTGCCAAGCATGGATTGGGAGGAACTCTTAAAACAGCTTCGGGGATATAAGTCGAGTCCCCAAGACCAGACCTCTCAAGAATCTTCCTTTGAAACCCGAGGTTTTGTTCAGTGAAAGTACCAATCAAAAGGGACCTGTTCATGAACATCTGCTTGGTACATTTCCTAGCATCATCAGGCTTGTAGCATGAGAAATCAACGAGGTAAACATGACGAGAACGAGTGAAGAAAAAAAGGGTCGATAGGAAAACGAGAAGGGTTGAACATAAAACGACAGAGATGATATTGAAACGAAGATGATCCCAAAGATCATGGAGATCTTGAAGAGAGAATGTGGAGATTTGTGCAGCAATAAGTATAAGGAAAGGGGTCAAGAATATGAACATTCCATTTGTTATAAGGTAATGGTAGCCAAGTTTAACGTATTTCAGCTTCACAGATTGCTTGAAATCACCAAGATTTGGTTCAGCCATTCTTTTTTTTTCTGTGTGGTGAAACAAAAAAGATTGGTACTTTGAGGAGCTTGAAGGAATTGAAAGTGAAATTTTAACAAAGCTTTGAAATTACTGCAAAAATGGAATTGAAAAGACTCCTCGTCACTAACAAATAAACCTTTTAGCATCTATGTATAATTGAATACGCATACAAAATATGATGTTTTTGGGAAAATTGAAAGAAAAAAAAAGTTGGAAAGCTAGATGAAGACGAAACTGACCTTATAATGTGAAATAGAATGAGCATGAGGGAGATCATATCTTTTCTGCCGTTTTGGAGGATTCAACGTAAACAAGGGTTTTTAGAGTACTGAGGTGACACGACCTTTTTCTTTAATTGTCAGATTTTATTTTTGGATAAGATATATAAATGGTTTCCATTTCAAATGGTATTTTATTGAATCATCCAATTATTAAAATTTATAAAATAATTATTTAATTATAAAATATTATTTTATTGAATTTATCGATTATTAAAAGTTATAAAATTATCACTCGATTATTTATATATTTCAAACTCATCATTTTTTATTAAAAAAATAACGATCGTCTAAAATGGATGTATACCTAAATGAAAAAAGAGGTATAATCTAAACACTTATTTTTATATTAAGCCAAAAAAATGAATGAGAGATGGTAGATAAAAGACGACAACAACAACAGCAAAATACCTTTATAATAAGGTTTGGTGCAAGAAGATTAAGTGTAGAAACCGAAAGGGAAACATCATCTATATAACTCTAAATCTGGTGGCTGCAGCCTACAGGTAACATGAAAGTGAAAAAGGGAAAACGTGAATTGATGAGTCACGTGCAAACCAAACCACTTTTTTAAAAAAATTCACTGCCTAAACTGTCAGAGAAGCATAGGGCTTTCACAGCCAAAAGCCAAAATGTACTTACCACGTTCACTGAAAACCATAAAGCAGCAGGACAAATATTGGATCTGTGCTAACCCAAACCCATCCATTCCCAGCACTCATAGTAGTTGGTCGAATTCCAAGCTTAGAAATTTATTTCTCATTCAACAAATCATTATCACAGCATTTATTTCTCATTCAACAAATCATTATCAGAGCTAAAAAGAGAGAACAATTCCAAACAATTAGTTTCTACATACATGGTTACTGATAACAGATAAAGAAAAAAATATGTAGAGGCCATTTTGAAGTAACTTGTGCATAAGAAAAATTGCGCTCACATAAATGAGTTGCTATTTTTTCTACAAAGGGCATGTAATTATACAGATTTTGCTGGCCATGTTGCTTGAGCTGACATGATTATACCTACAATCACTCCAAATAGTCCAAGGGCACTGCCAAAAATCTCAATCACAAGAATCTTCACAAAAAGCGAAGAGTTCTGCGCATCAGACAGTGCACAACTGCTTCCGATTATTCCGACACATAATCTGTAACAAATCGCAATATAGAAAACCATAAGTACACACAGGAACAAGCTACCGCTTGTTTAAATAAGTTTATTCAAAGACTAAAAGAAGAGAAGGATAGAGATGAACCCGCAAACAAGATTTGCAAAGCCAACAATAATTCCCGAAGCAAAGATTGCATATCCTGCTCTAAGAGACTCGGGCGCGTATATCTGTGCGGATGGAACACTCTCTAACTTCGTTTGTAAAATAATTGCAACAATCACACCATATATAGCAACAGCTTCACAGAAGATAACACTGCAATAAGAGTAAAAAATTTACTATTTCAATGGGCATACAGCATTTCAAAAGTATAATCAGCAAAGCTGCAAAAGGTTTGAAGATGCCCAATTGAAAAAGGTGGATAATCTTCTGTTATTGAATCCGAATTCATGACTAATACTCATTTTCCATTATCTTCAATCATAACAACAATAATAATAATTGTTTTCCATCAGTCCATCCTCTCTTATCTACAACAGATCCAACAGACATTACGCGAATGAGTAAGTTAAGCAAACATTACAGAGAGGCCATCTCTAAATTTGCAAGGTAATATATGGGAACAAATAAAAAGTATGTATACACAAGAAAACTACAACTTTAGCTATTCTTGTTAACATGATTGTAGTTAATAGAGCAACCCTTCTTCTATCCTTAAAGCTGGATCGAAGTTCCAATCATAAACATTATACAGATCCAAGGCCAAGGAATATACAAAAAAAACTTAAAAAAGAAACATAATACGTAGCCAAGCTTCCTAGTTTCCGTTATCTGATTTTCAAAGACTCAACAAATTTTTGTTCAATTCAATACATCTTAAAAAAAAGACTTAATTAATAGATGAGGTTTTCTAAAAATAAAAATAATTAGATGCTCTCCCAGATCAAACCACGCGATAAGAGCAATTCAATAAAAAATGAAAAGGAAAAATAATTACCTAATCAGATTCTTGGAAGTGATTCGGGGAGCTTTAATAGCAGCACCGATTAAACTACTCCCAGTTATGTAAATTCCCCTGTAAATAAGAATTATAAAGAAGGGAACACTTTAAAACCTAATTCATAAGATTATGATCAGACTAGAAGCAAAACAAAAAATTGAAAGAGAAGGGGCACCATGCAGCGCCGAGGACGGAAACACCGATGGCGATTGCGATGCCGATGGCGGAGAAAGTGTAAGGAGAAATCTTAACGAGAGCGGTGGACCAGGAGCTTGAATCTGCTACCATTGATGTTCCTGCCATTTTCCTCGTACTCTAATTATCTTTCTTCCTTGTAATAATAATAATAATAATAATAATAATAATAATAATAATAATGATGATGGAGATAAGTAGGCAAGTCGAGTGGGCCTACAATTATATCTATTTGTACAGTTTGGTTCACGGCATAAGATATTATTGAGGGAATATAATTTTCATTCTCCCATTTAGTTAGTTGATAATTTTATTTTTTATAATATTTTATTATCAATAGTGAGTTTTTTGGGGTATATTATCGGGAATATGATTATCTCCTTTCATTTAGGTATTGTTAGATTATCGGCGTTTTGGACTAAAATACCCTTAATTTTTTTTCAAAATTATCATTTTTCTGTCATTCAATAATAAAAATTCTACGAATGTTAAATTACAAATTTATCCTTAAACTATTTTAAATTTACAAAAAAATCCATAATTAGAATTTTATATGAAGTTCAGGGGTTAAAATAAAATTTTACCTTTTCATTAAACCTATTTATCTTTTCAATTTTGTAAAAAAAAATTATATAAATTTTATGAATTTAATTTTTTTAAAAAATATATAAATTAATTATAGTAATATTATAGTAGAATTCAACTTGTTAAAAAATAAATATATAATAAGGACAATTTGATAAAATATACATTTAAATAATCGTTTATTCTTTTAACCAAACACGGTAATCTTACATTCCTACTAAACTAACCAAACACAAAATACAACATTCAGATTATTCTTATTCTCTGTTAATATTTTATTCCTATTAATAATCTTATATTTCGTGAACTAAATGCACTCTTAAAGTTTCTCCTTCTTTTTCTTCAAAATTTTAAAATAAATATTTCTACCTCGTAAAACGTGTAGTCTTCAATCCATTTAGAGTGTCCTCCTCAAGGTAGAATTAGAATAAATTCCGAATATCAACCACCACCTACCCCCCTTCCATATGGCACATTGTTTCTTTTTCTCCATTCCTAATTGTGGCATAATAGTCCTAACCTGTTTATTGGGCAAACGTCATCGTAGAGGAAAATCAAAATCTTATGAGCACATATAGGAGTAAAATAATTTATAGAAAGAAAGCTCAGGAATCAAATTAAATTAAAATAATTCTCTATGTACCAAAATAATAATGAGATACAACTCTAAGAGTTAAAACACTGTTGAACCCAATAACATATTATAAAATTAAAATTTGTTCTAACTTGGGCTCTGGTGATTTGAACTCAGACTCGATTCTTGTTCTAAAGAGTAACTTTTACTCGTACACATATTTTGAGTTTAATATTTTGTTCAAAGCATTCTCTATCAGCATTTTGATTGGCGGCATGAAAGCTGAAAAAGCAAGCAGTAGCTCAATAAAGCTAAGCTTTTATATTAGGGGTTTTCCCTTTATGTAGTGTCTTTTACCATGTTATGAAACGCCCTCCTTTGAGTTTGGCACTTCACTTTGTTTCCACGACGGAGTTTCTCTTTTGCCCCCTACGCTACAAGAATATGCTCTTACAAAATATATTCTTTAATTATTGTTTCACCTGACATAGAATCTTGCACGTGTTGTCTTCATCTTCGTTCTTGTTGTGTCCCTCCCATCTTTTGCCAAAGTAAGATTGATCTTAAAAGATTTTGAATCATAAATCAATGTATGATATTTTTCATTATAATATTGTATTGAATCTCTTTTGCAAGTTATATTTTCGTTGTTACTATTCTGCTTGTTAAATTTGGGACTTTTCGTAGTTTCACTTATTTCGATCAACTATATTTTTTTGACATGATTATTAATAGATCTGATGTGATCTACAAGTTAAATCTATTACCTAACAATTAAATTTATTTACTCTGTCAATTTACAAATAACATCATCACCTAAGGCCTGACACCAACACTAGGAGCTTGTTTATAAATCATAATGCAAAACTGGAGAAAGAAGATCATTGTATTTCTCTAGATCTATTTCAATTGTTTATCGTCTTCTTTAGATTGTCTATTCTTTCTTTCCCTTCTACTAAGTAATTGTCTGCTCTCCACCCAAATCATCTATTTACTTTATCAACCTACAAATAGCATCATTACCCAACGCATGTATATAAATATATAATATGACAAGCATATCTATTTACTATGTCAATAAGAGATTTAAATTGCGGTTACGACATAGAGGATGTCATTGCGGTGATTGTGGGTATCACGATCATTAAATAATAGTATCGAACGATACCACTATCGCTATATAACGGGAGCTATTGTGATAACGGACCACTATTTAAATCCACGATGTCATCCTACAAATAACATCATTACCCTAAGTCTGACACTAAGAGCTTGTATATACATCATCATGTAAGATTGAAGAAGGGGATCACATTAAAATAATTGGGTTCATACGTGTCTGTTTAAATCACGGTCCCAATAATTTCATGGCCTGACTGTGGGCGTAGGTTATCATCCTGGGGAGGTTCTTATTAGTGTGACATGACTTGACTCCATGAGATATGGAATCCAGTTGGCTTTAACAAAGCAAATCCATCAGATTCGAGTATCGATAAGCATGAAGTGAATATACAAAACTAGAATCCGTTGGTGTAGTATTCTAGGGTTCTTTCAACTTTTTTTGGTGGATTGCAGAAGCACGCAGCACGCTGTACACAAATATCAATGCCTCATTGCTATGATCATGACCTAAAACCCTACAACAAAGGAGTGTGGATTGATGAATGTTTGAATTGAGAGAGAGTCCACCAAAATATTCTTCCCCATGGGGCCTTGTCGTTGGAGGATCGCATGTATTTCTCATGCGCTCCATCATCATCGCCTGCCAGAAATTTGGAACACTTGTCAGACATCAATGCTAAATGCATTTAGTCTCTCTTTTCTTGAATATGTTCTGTATATGTTTCTCCTGGCATGAGATATTTGAAGATTTGATTCTTTAATGTATATATGTTTCAACTTTTATGGAAAATAAATAGTTGTGTTTGTGTATTTTTTTTCGCTTTTGTTTCCCTTTCGGTTCCAATTATTAATGAATGATTTCCGGAAGATTTCGGTTCCAATTATCAATTTTGAGAGTTCGACTCAGCAAGTCAAGCTTTGGTTTTCCTATAGCACATACGAATGGTGGAATGGAATCTCTAAGTTGTCTCCCAACGAAAATAGAACTTTCATTCCTTCTCTTAGAGTCCAGCATCCCCTCTTTATGTCAAGTTGATCATCTTTATAAGCTCATATTTCTTTAGATCATGAGTTCTAGATCGATTAAAACCTTGTTCTTTCTCTTAGAGTCTTCATCCCCCTCCCCTATATGTAGAATTAAAATTAGATTTAAAATTTGTCAAAAAAAAGTTCATTAGATTAATTAAATTTAATGATTGAGATTAAACTTTTTAAATTTAAGAAAATTTACTTCTTTTTTCTCGTAAAAGCCTTTTTATTTATTTATCACTGTTAATTTTAGTCATTAATTTTTATTCATTTAACGATATTAGAAAAATATAAAATTAAAAATTGTTTATACCATCCATATCAATGAATCTTATCTCATGTAATCATTTTCAAATTGATTAATTTGGCCCAACAATTGAAAAAAAAATCATTATATATATATATATAAATCATTTATCCAATATAAAATTTTGTAACGATCTTAAATATGTATAATTGGATCTTATCTTATAAAAATAATAATTTTACAACTTTTTAAAATAATTATACATTTTAAGTAATGTAACCGGTTACCTAAACAAAATTTAACCTTCTTATAATGCCCCTGGTTGAGCAACCGTTTTTTTAGATTTATAGTCAGTAGTTCTCAGGGGCATTTCGGTCATTTCAGGAACGCGAATGAGGTTTTGTGCAATTGTCTCTTCCAATTTCTATAATTATGTTTCATACAATAATCATACATAATTTTTATTAAGGATGTTAGGCATGATACAATTATCCAAATCAATCTTTAGTTAGTTATTTGTACGCGTAATGACGAATGAATCATTGGGTTAATTACTTACTTAGTCACCCATTTATTATTTAATTTATGTTCTCGTTATCCAATTATTTTATTTTAAAATCATACATAACATTATGTTTTAGTTTTGTTTTGGTCCGCCGCTGTTAAAAAAATTAACAGTGATGTCAACGTGTCATTATAAGATAATATCACGACATCATTAAAAAATAATTTTTAAAATATCACGTCAGCATCACCGTTAATTTTTTAATGGCATGTGACCGAGATCGAACCAAAATGTAATGTTAGGTATGATTTTGAAAAAAAATAATAGTTGAATGATCAAACATAAACTAAGTAATAGGTGGATGACCTAATAGGTAATACCCAAATTATTTTAGTAAAAAAAATTAATATTCCTTTTTATAAATGAAATAAGTATTCATCAACTCAATAAGTGATTTAGTAATAAAAGAAAATATTATTATCTCTAGAGAATTTAACTTCGAGCAACTGCATCTATAGAATATGTTTGCGTTGTAGATAAATTTAGAAAAATTATGAATAAATATTTTATTATATCATAAATAAAAATTGACACAAAGAAAGGAGGGGAGATTTTTTATTAAAAAAATCATAATGATTTTGTCACTTTTAATAAATATAATTTATTATATTTTTAATTTTAAAATAATTTTGTAGTAAATCTTGTAAAAAAAATCCAAAGTACCAACACTAATAGAAATTTGTTCATTAAGAAATGAATAACGCACTTTGACATTTTTATATTTATTTTGAAGTACCTGAAAAAAATCTAAAAACTTAGATTAAAAGAGAAAAAAGACGAACGACTTTTTATACTGTACTTCTATAATAATTCGATCCATCACAGAGTTAATATATTTGCCATCTTCTTTTTTATTTGGTAAATCAATCGTACAAGTACGTCCTATTAATTTAATATGATACATTACCCTTGTAAGATTAGAATGATCCGTACTTTAATCATTAATGATGTATTACTGATACTGCACATATCAACATTCAATGTATGTAATAAGTGACCGATTAATGTACTTG